TATTTTGAATTTCTTAATTTTTTTTAGTCAATGTTTAATTTTAGAATTTATTTCAATAATTAAGTTAGAAAATTAATAGGTGGATGAATTGTCCAATATCCTAATTTTTAGTGATCGGTGACGATTCTCTACCAACAAAAAAAAAAAAAAAAAAAAACAAGAAGAAAAAAATGCTAGTAAAAATATTAAAAAAAAAAAAGAAATGCTAGGGAAAAGATGAAAAGAAGAAGAAGAAGAAGAAGGAAATGCTAGGGAAAAGTTAAAAAAAGAAAAAAGAAAAGAGAAAATGCTAGTAAACAAAATAAATGCTAGGAAAAAGATTAAAAAAAAAAAAGATGTTATGGGAAAGTCGTGAGAGAGAGAGAGAGAGAGGAAATGCTAAGAAAAGAGAAAAACTAAAGAAAGGAAAAAGAGAATAAAAAAACCATAAATGACTAAAAATGATAAAAAGAAATATATCTAAAAAATAAAAAATAAATGATATTAAAAAAAAAGAATGCAAAAACATAGAAAACACTAAAAAAAATCAATTAATAAAGTCTCATATTTAATAGAAATTGTTGTCAACCCAAATCAATTATTTTAGTAATTTGGTCGTTCTATGATATACTAGTTATGTCGAGACTTAAATTGAATCCTATGTTAAATCGACGTGATGCTTAATGAAGGGGTTTGATGATCCGTTTAAGATGATACAATAAACAAAAATAAAAAATTAATTTGACTTAGTAAATAAAACTTGAAAATTGACTAAGAAATATTTTAGCAAAAATAGAATTTTTAGGAAATAAATTTTAGGATTAAACTAAACATAGTACCTATTTTAGGAAATGATTCTTTTAAGTGATTGATATTTTCTCAAAAAGATAACCAACTCCTTACCAAATAATTTACGAACCAAGTATACTTTTTTGACTTTAAGTCTTTTTAATATTAAGTGACGATTCTGAAATTAATAATAACTCACGAGATAACTATAATAGACATAAAGCTTTTTTTTTTTTTTGGAAAAAAAAAAAAGGTTTTGTTACCGTTTCAGACACATGGAAGATTAAGATGCATGCAAGCCATTTGATGCAATCAATAAATACGTTTTTACACGTTTCGAACCAATTGATTGTTTTGAAACAGTCACGTGTTACTTGGATAACTGTTTCAAAAAAATTCATGGTACTGTTTTAAAGCAGTACCTTGTTTCAAATAATTTGTTTTAATTAATAATTTTTTTTAATATTTTATTAAAAATATTCTTAAAGTATAGTCTTATTAATTCATGTTAAAAAGTTAGTGTAACAATCCTATATATTAATTCTTATTAAAAAAGTTAATATGAAATTATTTTTTTCAATATGATTTCATGTAATAGCTTAATTTTTTAAATTGATAAATTTTTTATTTTAAAAGTTAAAACCTAACAATTAATTAGTGCAGTGACCTTATAATATCATATTGTTCTCATCTTCCCGCCTAATTAAGTCTTCAAAGCTGTAAGTGTTAATTATGAGAAATTCTACAATATATATATATATATATATATATATAGATGTTTACCTCACGAGGCATATATAAAACTTGGAAGACATGGTTTTGGTATTTCATCGACGGAATTCTCTATCGATCGTTAGCTTCTCTATTCTTCCACCAATTGACTTCATGTCCACTTTGGAGCTTTTATAATCATATAAAAAAGTAAAAAAAGAAATGGTTTTACTAGAGGTAGTTTGCTTCCATGTTCATCAATTACAACCAGCTTGAATAATAACCACATCGGAAAGTACTGCCAATACACATTAAGGCATTACTGATCATAGATATGTATCAGTTATTCACTGATATCTTATGACCTGACCTGAAAAGAAATGTGTTCTGACTGCTTATTAATCAGATAAAAAATCGGTAGATAGTGACTGTGGGCAAAGTTTACTGTACTACAGCGTACTGCATATAAAAAATCCTATATGTGGCAGCCATTTTGTTTATTCAGATATTGATTCTTGTTTTAATCCATTACAAAGTAGTTTTTCACTATGATTGTGTTACAGAAGGAAGAAAAGCAAACTGTAGATATACAAAGTTGGCACACATATAGATGTGTGTGTACTCTGCAGGTCCAAGTCCTTGCTAGGGCATATATATATATTCACGGAAAGACGTACTACTCAAGGAAGAAGGAACATTCACACAAATATGAGTAGACAATATTTACCAGTTACCACTATTATAAGATCAACAATAAGTGTTACCATTCTGGTACATGATTCAAATTCTGCAGGATAATATCTGCTTAGGAAATTTTCAGAAAAGAAAAATTATAAATCTAGTTGGTTTATTTCCATTTAGATTATTTATTCATCCCCAATTTGCATACCAATTAAATTTTTTGAAATAAAAATAGGTGTTGTTAAAAAATAATATAAATTATATCTTGATACCTCACTTAAAATTTTAAGCTTTTTGGTGGGATGATTTCTTAACATGGTATCATAGTCTTGATGATGGAAATGTTATGAATTCAAATCTCACCATCCCACTTTCTCTTCTAATTAATTAAATAGAAGATAATGTAGCTTTGTGTAAGTTTCAAATCCAAAATTTTTTTTTTGAAACGATGTGTTAAAGAATAATATAAATCATCTCTTATTAGTCTCATATATATTCTGAATGCATTAAGTAAAAAGAATGTTTGTGCATTAATTACTTAGGAATTGCATTATATATTTAGCATTTTGGATAATCGTTATGTACTCGATTAATCTAGTAGAAGAATAGCAGCTCGAGATGCTTTTGTTAAAATATGAAATACTATTTTTGGCCTTCACCTAACAATGGATATAATTCAAATTCAAGAAAGGGTTAAGTGTGGCAGGGTGTGCAGGCTCCCGACTGAATCACAAAGGTTCCTTGTTAAGTACTAAAATGTTTGCTACCTAAATGGAAAATGACTTAATTAATATAAAAACCATTTTTTAACATTACGGATAGAAATTGAGTGGTTCTTTACAGTGATATCAGAATATCATTGACTGAATTGTCTTGGATTTCAAATTCTACCATTCTCTCATTATTTCTTACCATTTGAAATTAATGAACGTTAATAAAAAAGAATATAGCAAATATTATTAGTAATAGCACATCCAAGAAACAAATTATGTATGTCAGTATATTTCAAGAAGTCAAAAATCTATTTGCTTACAAATTTCTATTATTTGCAAATACTAATCAGTCTCACTTTATAGAGAACTTCTAATAAATAAGAGATGATTGAGTAGTCAAGCTTACTTCTTTCAGTATATTGATTTGGATTAGGGTATCTCAATGAGGTATATCATTTTGACTGTTTGGGAATATATATGATACGAGAGACAAAAATCAGAAGGTTCTTTTTCTCTGAAGTTAATTAAAAAATAAAAATAAAAATGTAAAGTCTTCAGATTTATGATTATTAGTTTGATCTATGCCACAATACGCCAATAAGCATTCTTTTTCCATCTAATTACTTTACTATTAATACCTTATGCAGAGCAAAAAGAGAGATCTATTTTCTTAATGTTCTTAAATTGACAATTGTTCTTCTTCTTTTTTATAATAAAAATACGTATTATCATAGTGCATGAAAAGGGATATATGATGGAATGAAAATGGGATACATCCCCACATCCTCCATATTATTATTAGATGCAGGGTCATAGTCCTTCTTTTATAGTGTACCTCTCATTTTTATTATCTTTGTCTTTTGCCTCCATTCCTTCTCCATTAACTAAATGCTCTTCGCTCTCCTCCTCTCTTATTGTTACTGAATTTCCCACACACTCTCTCTCTCAACACCAGTACTTAGGGTTTTCTCTATGAGGGATCACCTGCTATAAATCTGTATCGTTCCTCTCTTTCATTGGCTAAGGCAACTTTATCTTGGGAGGGAACAAAGACCATACATCTAGTTCTTGAGGGAGCTTCTTCAAGGAGGAAAAAAAAAGGTACTTGTCTTTTTATTCGCATGATCAAAGAAACCTAGCTAGATCACAAACAGGTAAGCATTTGTAGCTTCTTTATTCCTTTACTATGCTAATAATTCTCTCCTGTTTTTGTTGTTTTTGGCAAGCTAAAGGCTAAAAGATACTAGAGACCTTTGGGTTAAAGCCTCTGATTTAGGGCTTTGCTGTGTTCATATGTACTATATATAAAAACAAAAGACATGAATATACAATTCTGATGAATTCACTATTCAGATCCCATGTTGAGCTAATTTCACAAGGATATTATGACTCTAAAATTGGTCATGCAACTGAATTGTTCTAAATTAGGTAGCAGACTGGATTATGTGTGGAGTAAGAAAAAGAAAGAGAGATGATGGCATGGAGAATAGAAGAAACAAATCGAAAAATAAAAAAATTAAATTAGGAGACGCAGAACGCTTGCTTTGGTGGTTTTGAAGGCGAAGTGTTGAAATTAATTTGTTTTCAGAATTTAAAATAGAAAGAATTCAACAGAAAAAGAGAGTAAGAAAGAAAGGTAGGAAGTTAAAGAAATCAAAAGGGGCCGAGAGAAGATAGATAAAGAGTTTGAGGTAGTTAAAGTAGTTATCAAAGCAAGGGAAATGTAAGTAAATTCTCAGATTTCAGTAGCTATGCATGCATAGATCAAACTTTTTTTCCCCTCTTTATGGGAGAAGATCAAGGGATTTGTGTGTGTGTGCCAGATGGAGAGAAAGAGAGATGTAGGATGTGAAGCACAGATACCCACAGACTTGAGATTTTCTCGAATTTGTGTTTGACGGGAGAAAACCTACAGAAAATAATTTAGGATGCTTCTACTTGATTTTAAACCTAAGCAGAATCTTCATAGTAAACCTAGTATAGAAGTCTTTTGTGAGTTGAGGTATGAAATCAATGAAAGAAAAGAGAGGAAAAAAGGGAACATCTAAATGAAGAAAAGAAATAAGAAAGAGCTGCAAATTTAATTAATGCTTGATGGGGTTTGTGTATACTCCTTCTGCAGAGAAAATGGCTTCATCAAGCTCTTACAACTCTCCCTGTGCTGCCTGCAAGTTCCTGAGGAGGAAATGTATGCCAGGCTGCATTTTTGCACCTTACTTCCCGCCAGAGGAGCCTCAAAAATTTGCCAATGTTCACAAGATCTTTGGAGCAAGCAATGTGACGAAGCTCCTCAATGAGCTCCTCCCTCACCAGAGAGAGGATGCAGTAAACTCCCTTGCCTATGAAGCCGAGGCAAGAGTAAGGGACCCGGTTTATGGCTGTGTTGGTGCTATCTCCTTTCTCCAGAGACAAGTTCAAAGGCTCCAGAAGGAACTTGATGCTGCCAATTCTGATCTGGTTCGGTTTGCCTGCAATGAAATCCCAACTGCATTGCCTGCACCACCAGGAGCAAGCTCAATTCAATCAATGACTCCTCGTCAAAGGCCAGTTGACTATAACAGAAGGATGGGCAGTGAAGGGGGTTACTATCAAGCTCCTGGCATGACAGTTCCTTATACTTTTCCTTGGAATGATAACCCTTCAGGGGATGCCAATGGAGGAGGAGGAGAAGGAAACATGTGATCAATTGAGAGAGAGAAACCCCATGTAGGGTTTATAGCTACCTTGAGGGCGCATGGCCTGCTGGAACTCATCTTGGTATGGTATTATAAGGTTTCTAGCTAGCTAGCCTCACATGGACTCTTCAGCTAGAACACTTAATTAAGTACTACTTCTAGCTGTTACATAGTAATTTATTTGGTCGGTTTGGTAATTAATTTTTCACATGGCCTGCTACAACCAAGAACTTAAGTATTCTGCAAGTGGTTTTAGCACGGTATTTGGGACCTAAATAAGGCTGTAGAGCATAGTGTGTGTGTGTGCAACCTTTGTTGAGTCATTAGTGCAACTCTAGGCCTGTGCATGTGGAGTTGCTATTTCTCTGTCATTGTTTATGCTTGAGAATAAATGATATAAAACTTAAATTAAGTTTAAAGAGGATTCTCTAGCCTAAGTCTACGGCTTAGTCCTCCTTTACACTAAATATTCTTACATCGATCTCTTTCTGCGTTTTTCAGGTGGACCACTGATCAGTTACTTTTTCTCCTAATTTTATTCAACTAATTATTAGCCTTAGTTTTCAAAAAGGCCCATATGTATAAAAGATGTCCAAATTGATCCTCCAAGTTGCATCTAACTACCAAATATGTATGTACAATAGATGGCTCGTGACCTTCTTTAATCAATCGTGTTTGTTTTAATGTAGTTCGAAAAGAAAGTTGCACCGAACTGGTTAAAGTTTTTTTTTTTTTCTTTGTCGAAAAACTATCTCAATTCTTTTAACACTTCCTTAAGTTAAAATTATATAAACTTAAATTTTACACAAGTTATACTATATTAAAAAATTATCTCAATTTAAAAATTATGAATAATTTTATATTTTTTTAGAACTTTTTTATGTAATTTATGTATTTCTCCATTTACAATTCTATATATTTTTTTTCATAATGGTGATAGCTTATCAGTCGCAACAGTTGTGAAGAATTGCTAATGCATAATCGCATTCACAAATTATATAATAATTAGTAGAGCAAGTCGAGTGTAATTAGCAGCTGTAATTTCCTTTTGTAACACTTTCTGCTAGTTCATTTGAAAATTCAATTTCCAGCTTGTGCAGGTACGCTTCACTAGCGGCTGAAGCAAAGGAGGGTACGGTGTGATATATGTGTGGACTCTGATTTCTATAGTATTATTTCCCTTTTTCAGCTTGTGAAGGCAGCACCTCTTGTTTCTGTGGGTTTTCAAATATCTAGAACAGTAACTCACAGTTTTTTTTTTTTTTTTTGGCTCTCATTGGATCCGTTTCATAAAGTAATCGTTCTCCCATGTAAGGGCTTTCCGGTTTTCCTTCACCAGCCCCTTTACTGTTATCATCCCCTATACTTTCAAGACAAAACAGTGTACCCTTATAAGCCAAAAGACATTAACAGTACCCTAGCAGCCTATAGCTCTCTCTCTCTCTCTCTCTCTCTCTCTCTCTCTCTCTCACATAATCTGGTGCTTAATCATGCATGAGCTATGAAAATATTTTCCACATATGTCATCGATATTAAACATATTCTGAAGCACTAACATCCAAAAAAACAGCGGTTTGTTAAAGAAAAAAAAACCCTAAATTAAACCCAGAAAATTATAGAAGTAGTTATTTGTTAGGGTTTCAAATTGCACTAAGTCTCAATCAGATCACAGCATGTTTTGTAGACTCTAATTATTTTCTCCAAGAGAAAAGAAAAATTAAGGTGCAAGCTGTGCATGTCTCCATATTAGGTTTTGATCAGTACTTTACTATACAAAAAGTTTGACGCTAAAGAAATAGTATTCCTTTATTTATAACACTTTGATTATTTATTTTTGTGGTGGAAGAGTGAGAGATGACTATGAATTTCCTTATTTTCTTCGACTGACTAAGTCTTTTTATTCCATCCTCTTTCTCTCTCATACATTCATGTGTGGTTTTAATGTGGCAGTACAAAGCTTTGATCAGTACACATGTCCATCCCTTCTGTTTCTAACTTCACCTTTTTTCAGTCTCGTCTCTCTCTATCTCTCGCAAACTGATTACATACTATATACTTACTTTCTTTTGCTGTTGCAGGCACAGAGATAAACACTGTAACACTTATAATCATCAGGGAAAAAAAAAAAAAAAAACGATTAGTGTCCAACCCCAACCCCAACCCCACCAACCCCCCCCCCCCCCCCCCCCCTCTCAATCGTATGATCTGGATTTGGGTCAGGCAGTTTCATTGTGTGAGGGAGAGATTGAGTCGCCTCTGTTGTACTCCAATTCATCGCCTCCACAGCCACCTTTCTCGAGATCACCAAAACCTTACCTCTATCTTTCTTGGAATTTTTGGTGAACAAAATCTAATCTCTGACCCCTCCTGATTTCTTCACCATATTTATATTCATAAAACATGTAGTAAATATTCTGGAATGTTCACACAAAGACAACTTTAATATTGAAAAGGGTTAATATATAATATATGTATAGAAGAGAGGGGTATGAATGGTGATGTATGTTCTGTAGGATCAGAAGGGAAGTCAGAATGGAAGGGAAGTAAGGCTTTTTCTGGACTCAATGTTGAGCCTTTTAATATGTGAAAAGAAAAATGGAACTGTTAGTGATTCAGAATCCATCAATCCCATCATCAACAGTTAGTGATTCAGAATCCATCAAACCCATCATCAATCTTTCTCTGATATACATGTGTGTATATGAGAAACAAAAAAACATCAAAGACGTGAGACAGAAGCAAAGATCAGCTGGTTAAACATGGCAGCTGCAGGTTTAGATCAGGGCAACCTAACCTAACAGGAAGTGGGCCGGGGTCTATGCTTGTAACCGCACCGTTTATTTTCTTTCTTGTGTGTGAGCGCGCGTATGTTTTAATCTCCCTCATTATAGGGTTTGGAAGAGACATCGTTTCAGGTTGGATGTCTTTGCTGTTCTATCGCTTTCATTCCTACAGACATATATGTCCTCTACACATTTGGAATTCCTACAGACATATACGTTCTCTACCAATTTGGAATTATATACAGTCATAGAACTCATTATTTTTTTCATGTGCAGCAGAAAATAAAATATTATTAGTGGAATGCTAGTTATTTTTTCAGGCTATTATCTTATTGTATATTACTATTAGTTTCTTTTACTTGCTAATTAGGGTTACTAATTTTTGGTACATGTGATTAAGCTGTCTCTCACACATATATTGAGTTAAGTTTGAACTGAAGACTGCCTGCATATCCCAAACATGAAATTACTTACACCTAATAACGATGCATTGAAAAGGGATTATGAGACAAAAACACCTAACCCGCATGACTGGAACCAAACTACTTAATTAAGCTTAGTTAACTAATCCACCAGCCGAGACGCCTGGTACTTGTCATGTGTTAGAAGGTCATATGAAATAATTTTTAAAATTTTATTTAAAAATTTAAATTTTTGAGTTAAAATAATACTTTTATATGATATCATAATCTTATTAATTAAGTAGTTATAAAATGAAATCTTGTCATCTTATTAATTAAGGAGTTACAAAATCAAATCTTGTCATCTTCATTTGTTTTTTAATTAAATAAACATAAGATAACGTCGGTATATATAAATTTTAAATTCAAAAAATTTTCACTAAAAAGAAAGTATTAAAAAATTATATAAAACTATTTTTAAAATCTTATGTAGAAACTTAAGGTTAAGCTTGTATTAAGCTTGTTGGTTGAAATGATTTTTGATATCATGAAACCAAGTCAGCATTCCTCCATTATACCATCACTAATCATGAGATGGCAATTAGCACAGTCACTTCAGTAAATCCAGGGAGGAAATCTGCCCTCTTCAATGGTAAAAATCTTCCGTCATGGCCGACCCCGTTTAAACATATTCATTATTGGAAAAGGTATGCAATCACTCATCCCCACCCCACTTCCTCTCTACAAGATTTTCTGTACAGAGTATTGAAGTGACTTCCCTAGAGACTACAACGGGCCATTTAAAGGGAATCTATCACAGTCCGGACCCGGGGAAGGGTCCATTTTGCACAAGCAAAACACAGCAACTATCTACAATGAATTTCTGGTCGCATATAAATTTTAAAACATGTTTCTATTTTTTTTATTCAAATTCCTTGTAGTCTACTAACATATATGGATATTGGATTTCATGTGCTTTGGTTCTCAAACGAACGATATTCTCGTTGCACTATAATCTCAGTTCAGAATCAAGTTCTTAAGTAGCAAGAGTAGTGATGGAGAATGGATTGGATCATTGCGTATAATAAGATTTTAGGAATAAGAAATATTTTGATAATTTTAGAGGGAGGTGGGCTAGTAATAATTTTCAGGGTCTAACTTGACAATTCCCTAAAATTCATGGGAAAAAGTGATTTTTTTTTTTTTTTTTGAAAATTTTGTGGGTGATATGGCCCCCTCAACCTATGTTTATGCGTCACTCTCCTACTTAGCCGTGAAAGATTCCTATATATTCAAGAGGTGACTCTCACACCTTCCAAAGATGTAGCATTTTGCCCTGCATAGCATTTAGTTCTCGCATTCAGTTATGCTCGGCTCTAATTCCCACCGGGTTCTAATTTGTTTATCCATGTTTTTAGTTTAGCCTGTTTAAAATATTTATCTAGACTCGTTATGAAGTGTTTAGTTTTTCCATATATATTTTTAATTAAAATCATAAATATTATGGTTTTTAATTTTTCTCAATATTCAAATTATGTTATAACAAAAATAGTAACAATAATAGAATTTGAGAAAAAAATAATAAAAAAATAAATTCACCATGAAATAAAATAAATACTTTTGATAGCAATTCCAAAACATCTCAATCTTTGTGAAACAAACAAACAACAAACTAATGAATAATCAAATATATTTATAGGCTTTAAAATTAGAAAAAGAATTGAAAGAAACTATGAACAATTAAATGTGTATAAATGGTTGAATCAAATGCACAATTATTTCAATTTCTATATTGAACTATGAATTAAATCATATTAAAGATTATGAGTAGTGTGAGTATGAAATGAACATAGACATTCATCTAGACATTTATTATTTCATAACACTCTCCCTTAAATATTCATTGTACAAGAACTATACATGCTTTGTTAAAACCTTACTAAAAAAATCCAATGAAAAAAACATTCTAGTGAAGGATTAAGAGTACAATATTTTTTTGCACATATTAATCTCTATAATGAGATATCCCCGTTGAAAATATTATTTAAAATTTTTAAGACGATGAATCTCAATCTTGCGAACCATTTTCTTAAAAATTGTGGTAGGTAATGCCTTGGTGAATAAATCGTCGGATTATCACTTTGATGTATTCTTCCTTTAATTGAGTTATGCAAGTCTGTATTATTTTCATATAATATTGTTAAAACTTTCTTGCTAGTAGATGAATTGCGTGTCTCTCGAATATGATGGGTTATTGATTTGAGCTAAATATATTCTTCACTTACCTTATGAATTGCTAGTATTTTTACATGATTTGAATATATAGTAGGTACAGAGTTGTTTCATAGAATGTCATGATATAGTTGTATCATCATATATAAATACATAACTTATTTGTGATTGAGTTTTGTACGGATAAAATAAATAACATGCATCCGCATAATCAATTAAACCCCTCTTTGATTTATTTGAGTAAAATAAATACCATATCAATTTTTTCTTAGAGATAATGTAGAAAATATTTAATTCAACTTTAATGTTTTTGTCTTGGAGTAAACTATGTTTTTCTAATAAATTTATAGAAATGACTATATCGAGTCTAGTGTTATTAGTAAGATATATAAATACACCAATTACACTAAGATATGATACTTTAGGAATAAATATTTTTTGTTTTAATCTTCTCAATGTCGAAAAAGGTATTTTTGGACATCAAGTGAGCAAACGATCACCTGGACTAGTAAGCGAATAAGCTTTATATAAATCATTGTAGAATTTTTTCTATATAAGTTGACTAATAAATAAAATCTCATTCTAAGTGCTCATTTATAGGTCGAGATAAAATTTTTCTTTTTCAAGTTATTTCATATCAAATTCTCTTTTTAGATAACTTATGACACTTAGAATCTCTTCAAGAGTTCCAATAGTATTTAAATCCTCAATATATTCAACAATTAACATAAATTCTTTTTCGAATTTCTTTATAAAAATAGATGAATAGATAGGATTATTTTTATAGTATTCTTTCAATAGATATTCATTGATGCAATTAGACCACATGCATCCAGGTTAATAATAAAGAGTAGATATTTAAAAATATAAAATAAATATAAAAAATATATCATAAATTGAATTTCTAAAAAATAAAATAATAAAAAAATACTGAAAATAATCCTTATAGAGATCTCTAAAATTTAATTGAATATATTTTCTAAAAATGTGTATTAATGCTTCAAGTATCTTAAGTTCTTCTTGGACTTTTATATGGATATCATTTTAAGTGAACAAATAAGTTGTCATTACATCTATTAAATGCATGTATATGAAAATTTTCATATATTGTACTAGGCTAACGAGATAAAAAAAATATAATTGCATCTATTATAAGAGAATATATCTCCTCATAGTCAATATTAGGTCCTTACGAAAATTCTTGTGTTACAAGTCTTTCTTTGTATCTCATAAACTCATATTTCTTATTTTGCTTTCGTAAAAATACCCATTTGTATTCCACTAGCTTAACATATTTAGATATTTTGACTATGGGTTCAAAAACTACTTATTTTATAACAAAATATAATGTCGTCTAGATTGATTGCTCTTTTCGTTTAGACCAATCATCTCTAAGTTGATACTTTTCAATAGATTTATGCTTAGGATGCTTATTTTCAACCAAAATATCAATTACAACATTAGATGAAAAAATATTATCAATAAATGTTTTTTAGTCCTATATATATATTTTTTTTTACCTATATTGACATAATTTATCTTTTGATTTTTCTCAAGCATTTGGACTTCTTCCGCAAGCCTATTATCGAAATATCTTGGATCATTTTGTGAATATTTTCTTCTTTGATATTTTTATCATGGATCTTTTGATTTATTTTAGGGATTTTTATCTTTAGAACCGATCGGTCTTTCACACTTAAGGTGTGCTTTCGATTCACTTGCTATAATATTAATAGATTGTCTTTCTAGAACATCAATTTAATAGAAACATTCTCGGTGGGATATGGTTTTAATTACTCTTTTTGGATCCGAAAAATGCACCAAGCCGTTGGTTTGCAAGACTTTGTAGATGAATTATTTTTTGAACTTTTAGTTCATATTATTTTGTGCGAGGGTTAAGATGATGTAAAAATAAAGTACTCCATGTAATCTCTTTTTTCAATATTTTCAATTGCTTATTTTCTCATCCAAATATAGGAAAACTCGTTTCATCAAAATGATAGCTAACAAATCAAGCTATACAATTATCATCCGTTAATGTTTCAAAATATTTAATTATATATATAAAAAAACTCATATCCGACATTACTAATAAAATAAAGGAAAACGCTCATTTACTCGTAGTGTTTACTATTTGAAACACTCGTATACGCTCTCACAATTCACAATTCACTCTCCGTCACAATTCACCGTTACTTTCACTATTCATGGCTTTTTTACATTTTGATCCCTAAAGTTTTCGGATGCATGTTTCGATCCACATGTTTATTTACTCATCCATTTTGATCCTTAGGTGGAGAGAGGAGGTCGAGAGGAAGAGAGAGATAGGAGGAGAGAGAGAGATCACCGGCCAAGCTCATTTAGGCCACTTTGATAGACGAAAGTTCGTTAGATTTTTTTTTTTTTTTTTTATCATTAAGAGATAAGTTTGTCCATGATGGTTTCAAGACATTAAACAATTAGAAGAGCTAGTCGGAGCTAAAAAAGAAAAAAAATCCGATTTGATTTTGTATTTTTCTTTATTTTTGTGTGTATTAAAATGATTTTTAAGGTTTTTAGATGTGTTTATTGGCTTTATTCCGAGTCATTTAGAGGTGTTTAGGGAATAAAACCATGACAGATTTCATTTCTAGGGGTCCGAAAATTGACCATCAATTTTTCGACGAACTTCCGACGACCTCGGGTTCGTCGAAAGTCGTAGGGTTTTATTTTTTTTTTTTTCAGCGAGGCAAGGCTTAGCGCGTGGGCCATTACCGGGCCTCGCCTACACAACCTAAGCGGGCTGGCCTCCCTCCCTTTTTTATTTAAATTTTTTTTTTCATGTGACGACTTGGTTGCATAAGCCAACCGGACACCTATCTTGGTTGGCTTGCAACCGGGAGCGCTCCTCTCTCTCTCTCTCTCTCTCTCTCTCTCTCTATATATATATATATATATATATATATGAAGGAAAAAAACAATTAAGGAAAAAGGTCTACCAAACAAAAAAAATTAAATATATAAAAAATAAATCATTATGTTTTTAGTTTTTTGTAAAGTTTAAAGATGATATATATATATATATATATATATATATATATATATATATATATATATATATATATATATATATATATATATTACTTTTATTGTTTAAATTGGATTTTTAATTATTTATTTCTTATTAAAATTCACATAAAAATAATTTTTTGATATAAGTTTATTTGTTAACAATTTTTTTTTAATATATGAATATGTTAGTGTTTCATTTTTTAAATATATCATTATAATTTATGCAATTTTTTTCTTTTTAAATGAAATTTTTTTGTTCATTATTTTTATTATTTAAAATTTTTTACTTTAATTTGTCATTTTTTAAAAATTCTAATCCATTTAATTTCAAATTACATTAAAAAATTTAAAATATTTTTTTTACCTTTGATTTCATATATTTTTATACATTCACACTATAAAACAAATGATCAAACTAAAATATTTTTTCTAAATGATTTTATATATTTTATCCTACCTGCAAGCATAGTGCAAGGAAAAAATCCTAATATATTTCTAATTCCTTTGAGGGGCTATTTTAATTCGTTGTGGAGGAGAATAGGGACACATATTATATAGCCAAAACATCTTAGATAAAAAATATTTGGTTCATGATCTGGAAAC